AGTGGGCGAGGGCAGCAGCGTTTTTCCCGGCCCGGTGGCCCCGCGTGTCTCTGTCTCCTGCCGGTCCCAGCACCTGGGTGGACAGTGTCCCCGTGGGGACCCGGGCGGGGCGGAGAGGCCAGAGCCCCGCCGGAGCCGGGACCCGCCGGCCACGCCATCCCGGACTCATCCCTCCTCCCTCGGGAGCTGCTTCCGCCACCGATGAACCCAGAAAGGGGGCATCGCTCGTCCCCGGGTGCTTTCCTGCGGCCTCGAACCGGCCTGATGCTTTGGCTTAGGGACAGCCTCGGTGGCGCGACACCGACGTGCCAGCAAGAGCCATGCGCAGGCGGCCGTGCATTTGGGGAGGGACAGTCATTCATTTCTCTCTCCGTTCCTCCGATGTGCGTTGGGTCAGGTGCTGGGAGCGTGGCAGTCACCCACGCAGACAAGGTCGCTGCCGTCTTGGAGGTGACACTCGTGGGAACTGTGTTGTGTCTTGTCTATAAATCCCAGCGGCTTCTGTGTGCTGAATCCCTGGGTTCTCCCAGCCACCGTGCGACCAGCACTTTGCTGGAATGATGCTGCACAGCATAGCGGCGAAGAGTGGTCAGATCCGCTTGTGTTCGAATCTTGGCTCCAGCTTTTACTCCTCGGAGTGCCCTTCGGGAAGCTCTTAGCCCCTCCGCGCAGCTCTTAGCCCCTCGGCGCATTAGTCACCTTTGCAAAATACAGATGTCAAAATGTATCAGGAAAATTCGTGCAGATGAAAAATAGGAAATGCTTACTTAGAACAGTGCCCCGGACATCAGACACACTCCGAGATCCTAATTCACCATCCATACTAATTGTCGTTTAATCGCCTGTGCTACTCATTAGCATTTAATGTCTGCTAGATTTGCATGTTTGGGAATAGACCACAGCAAAAAAAAGATCTGCCCAACCTGGTGACAGTTGATGGGCAGGTAGACAGGACCCATCTGGCAAGAACTAGCCAATTTGCAAGACTGTCACTAAATTAATAGCGCTAAAGACCAGTAGTTATTAATGAACAAGATCTTGTAACAGATCGGAAAGTGCTCTGTAAATGGTTAGTGTCCTACAGATGTTAGGTTTCATTATTAACAGCCAAATGCCACAATTCACGGGTGGGGGGGGTGAAACTCACCTAATGAGAAAAGTCATTCTGGTGGGGAGAGGGGATCTTGATTGATTGATTGATTGATTCAGTTTTTTTCTTTGTGGTTTGCTTTTTTCTTTTGGAGAGGTTTTTGCTATAGGGCGCGTGCGCTCACCAGAAAGACAGAGAGAGACAGAGACAGAAAGCGAGAAATCACCCCCCAGGGGGGATGGCCACGCCACAATCCCTTCTCTTCCATTCTCTTCTCGGGATCTTGGGCACGCAGACACATGCGTCTGGCGTGAGTTTAAACTACCGGGTCCAGGACTCGAACTGCGGTCGACTACATGGGAGTCCAGCAACATAGCCATTACGCTAGCTGCTGGTCCCAGGTGGTTTGCTATTTTGCTATAGGGTGTGTACACTCACCCGAAAGAGAGAGAGAAAAATCACACACACACACCCCCCCAGGGGGATGGTCA